TGGTTGGAGTAACAACAGAAGCTTCCTGGGACTTTCTGCATGTCAACTGCAGGCAGTTGAGCAAGTTTTTTCTGCAGTGAAAATTACTCACTCCCGCGCAGGAAGCAATCTTGACACCACAAACACATGGCTCATTGAGTCTTTTGAAAAATATCCAAGTCTTGGCTCCCCTCACAATGTGATGTGGACCTTATTAGTAGGCTATTAAATTTATCTGGGCAGTTCATGAGCTGCTGATTTGCTGTTAAATTTTCTAATTTCAATGTGCATCAGGAATTTTTAAGGAAGGTTTATGTGTGGTGAGCTGATGAGCTTTGGCTGGAAATGCCAGCCATTTGATGCTTGCTGACCCAATTAACTTTTTAAAGTATCCGCAAGGCCAAATCAGCAGTTCATGAACTTCCCTATTCATTGCTTGATTTGGATGATGGTATCGACAGAATTTCTTTAGGAATTTTACAGTCTATATCAATTGTGGTCTTGTAGTATAATCTGTCTGAGGTCCCCTCAGATTGCCATGCAGACACACACACATGAATCAAACATGTATTTCTTTTTACTGAGATTCCTTCTGTGGTGGAAATGCAAGGGGAAAAGATTTTAATTTTATGGAATCAGTCTTTTATATCCCTGAAAAATATTAAGTGTTCAACAAGGTCTGAGCAAACTAGCTGCTTACTTCTTTAAAAATCTCAGATGAACAGCTCTGATTGTATTGTCAATTTAGCCTTGTTAGACAGAAGCTATTGTCAGATCTGAAACTGCAGAATCAAGAGGCAGATTCACCATGCACATTATGCACATTGAAGATGTCCATATTTTTTTTTTCAGCTGGTTTTAATAGTTCTAAAAACTAATTTTATAACTGCAATGTGTCAAGAACAATATTGCATCAAGAAAAAAGCACATTTTATTTTCCTCATTGAGGTCTCTCCAATGATGCAAAGAATGTGTCCAGCTAGAGTATGTGGCTTCTCTGAGGTTCTTGGCTGGAGTGTTGAGTGACCCATATGCAGAGACACATATGTGCTTGTAGCTAGTAATGCTTCTACAAAGCCTATCAGTTCTACTTGATTTACCAGCACACTCTTGGCTCATTTTTTCCTCACTGAAAACCAAGATTATTTTCT